ATATGACTGGTTTAACAAGAACAACACTCTCCCTAATGGGTACAAACAGTCTAGCAAGTTTGTTTAAAAAGATTTGTCTTAGCGTGGGCAATACAGTGAGACCCTGTCTCTACAAAAAATTTATAAAATTAGACAGGTATCGGGCGGATCACCTGAAGTCGGGAGTTCGAGACCAGCCTGACCAACACGGAGAAACCCCGTCTCCACTAAAAATACAAAAAATTAGCCCTCTGATAAGGTTTGGCTTATTAGGGCGTGGTGGCACATGCCTGTAATCCCAGCTACTAGGGAGGCTGAGGCAGGAGAATCGCTTGAACCCGGGAGGCGAAGGTTGCAGTGAGCCAAGATCGCGCCATTGCACTCCAGCCTGGGCAACAAGAGCAAAATTCTGTCTCAAAAAAAAAAAAAAAAAAAATTAGCCAGGTATAATGGTGTGCACCTGCAGTCTCAGCTACCTGGGAAACCGAGGCAGGAGGACTCATCACTTGACTCCCCGAGGTCGAGGCTACAGTGAGCTATGATCACACCACTGCATTCCAGCCTGGGCAACAGAGCAAGACCCTGTCCTTAAAATAAAATAAAAGACATGTCTTACTAATTTATAGTCATACTTTGTTCAAGGTGGGAGGGATCCTAGAAGTTATCTAGTCTTGAGGCCCAAACGCAGTGCAAGATTAGACGGGGCAAGGTGGGGTGAGGTCAGTGAGAGCTCAAAAGCTTTGTCATCTGACAGGTAGCTAGCCCTCAGCTCCTTCTGCCCCCCTCCACGAAGGTGACTTTTTTAAACCCAAATCTATGTCTTTATTCCTATTAATTTTTTAAAGCTATATAGCTCATCATTCTACACATTAAGATCTTTGCAATTCTGACCCTGCTATCAAATATATCTGTTATACATGCCACATCTTTATCAAAACCACTGGCACGGCAACAGAAGACCTTCACAAAGAGAAGAGCAGGAGGAGGAAAAATCAGAGGCAGTAAATGTAGATAATGTTTAGAGGTTCACTGTAAGAGAGAAATGGGGTGGTAGCAGGATAGGGATTCGGTGGAGAGATCAAGCGGTTTTTTAAAAATACTCAAACATTTATAGGCTAATGGAAATAATCATTCAAATGTGAAGGAAAAACAGTATGTAAAAACATGTCATAAGCTGTAAAGTTCAACATAAATATAATTTATTATATATATCCAGTTTTCTCTTGCCAGGCTATTTATGTTAAAATTTGATTTTTAGAGCCTCCAGCTCTTTCTGAATTCTCCTTCTGAATATTCAGAGACCCTGCTCCCATGATCATATCTCCTTTTTCTCTGAATATTTTGAAATCTGCGTCCAATAGCCCCTGCCTTTGCTGTTATGAATTCAAACATTACATGACCCCTTTCACCCAAATCTTGTTTTCACATCAATCTCCTCCACTGTTTATGAGAATTTCTAAAAACCAATTTCAGATTCGTTAAAGGAACCATCAAAGGCATCATCTAATAGGATTACATTTTTAAACATAAAAACCTAAGATTCACTTTTTTGAGTTTTATTGCATCCCTAAGCAAGTTAACAAAAAAAGGTTCATTATTTGGTAAAATTATTCTCTAAGGGTGTAACATCCAATCCTGAAAATTTCTATGCAAAGCAAGAAGTGGCCGATACTAAATTCTTCCCCAGCAGCACATCTGCATACATAATCACATCACCAACACAGGCTTTCTCCTTTCCCAACCCCCACTCCGGGCTCAAACAAAAAGTTAGTGTGCACACACAGAAAGCACATTTACAATGTCTGCTCCACAACAGACCCTGCTAGGCTGCTCTGCAGAGGTACTAAATAGTTTGCTCCTAGTTCTAAGCTTACTATTTGAGTAAGTAATAAAGAAGCAACGGTGATCTGTGCATAAATACACGACACGTTCCTTCAAAACTCCGTTTCTAAACACAAATTCTTTACCAGTTAAAATATAAAATTTGTTAGCCCCAGGCAAATGATTCTACACCCACCAATGCATTCCACTTAATGGCAAAGACATATTTTTAAAGTATACTTGTTCATAAAGAATCTCATAAAGTATACTACATAAAGTATAGCACTTGCCAAAATATACTTTTAAAATACCAAAGTGCCTAAGAAAAAAAAAATTGACTATTTGTTCTTTAAAGGGATAGGACAAATAAATCTTATTCAGAAATTCACACGTGATAGTAGCACTGCAAAGCAGACAGAAAGGTTTCTAGTTTCATAAATCAATCCACAGCTTTAAAATGAGCCATCATGTTAAACTCTAGGAAAACTATAAAGTTCTTTTGTCTTTATGTTCATTTCTACCAAACATCCTCAAAACAAATTTTCATGAATTTCACATAAATTGGCCACAGCTGTTTTTGGACCAGGACTTGTCTCATAACTTTGTGTGTAATCTGAACATTACTTTGCTTAGTGTCAACACATAGTAAGTCCTCAATAAACATGTCAAGAATTCTCCTCAATTCAAAATTATAAGAGCATCAAAGTCATAAGGATGCACTATTTTTTCTAAAACTAAAAAACTGTGAAACTCATTAAATCAAGATTATAATGTAAAATATCCAAGTATTCCAATTTTAAATCATCTTTTTAAACACGAATAATTTTAACAGACACATATCACCACTTCTGTTTCTAAAATAAATTCCTACGTTCCTGCTGCAACAGCAGATTTAGATTTCATATAAACCCATAGGTTTAGAAACTATTGACAGGCAGACTAACTTATAAAGATCCCCAGCAGAAGCTATGCTTTATAGAGACGGATTTTTTTAAATCTGTTTTGTTCACTGCTGTTGCCTCTCCTTCACCAATGCCTTGGCACACAGGATTTCAATTAATATTTGCTGGACTGAAAAACGGCATATGTGTGTGAAGACCCTTGGTACAAAGCCAGACTCAGACCACCTGTAGGATCCCCCACCCCCAACCCCATCCCCCTGAGAAAACCTGGAGCAGGCCCATGTGGGACGGACACAAAATGACCCCTAAAGAATCAAGGAAAGGGAGACTAAACCTCAAGGGGACTGACTTCACACTCAGTCTTCACACACTGCCCAAATGTGTTCATTCTGTTGCAGTGTCTAAAATCTCACCAACTGAGAGATTCCTTTAGGTTACCAAATCTCCTCTTTTCAGAATTAAGGAACCATTTAAACCTGTCAACAACCTTAAGAGATGTACATTTCATCATTCCATTTTACAGATGAGGAAACTGAGGCTAAATGGCAGAGTTACTTTTCCAGTGTCACACAATATACATAGAGCACAGGCCTGACTCAGAACCTTTCATCCTACAGCGCTGCCTCCCCACTGAGAGGGGAACAGGACTAACCTTCATTCACACCTCAATACATGAGCTGGTTCCCAATACCCTTCTACAGAAACACCTAAAGTAAGCTTTCTCAAAGACGGGGCTTTGGTTTGGGGTGACAGCAAGCAACAAGTAGTTAAAGCACATGAACACTGTGGAGGCAAGGATCTGAAGTTCAGACCATGGATTTGGGGTGCTTGAGGGAACCAAGCCTCAAAGACAAACCACAAATTTCACAACACTGCAGAGGGCCAGCCCTTGCTCCAGAACAGCTTGCCTCCCTCTTCCTCTTTCTACCCTTCCACGTGACCCTCACGGTTCTCCCCACCAGAAAAGAGGCTACCATTGTTAGTTGCCAGAGTCTGGCCACACTGTGCATCTCAACCACAGTGACTGGCACAGAGCAGGAACGCAAATATTTACTGAATGAACCCAAGACAAAAGTTGTTTCTGTGGCCAAGCTGGGACCCTAACTGCCATTTTTCAACACAGTGGAGATGAGATATGCGCCTGAAGCACCTGATTACTGGTGTAAAACGGACTTTTAAAAGCCCAGTCTGAGTTGGGGACAGGCTACAGTAAAAGCCTTACGTGATTATTTTTCCCCAGCCAGCCTGCCTCAAAGAAGAAAACAGCTTGGCACTTTGGCATACAAATACAGACCTCAGAGGGGCATAATATGCTAATATCTTAAAAGTGTAAAAGCAAACCATTACTTGATTTAGGCTGCCTACTTTAGGTCATCCTAACATGAACAGCAGTTTAGAGAAGAAAAATCCCCTCTCAGCATTCTCAGGGTGACAATGAGGGTGGCGATAATAGCAGGTATTTCCCAAAAGTTCAAAGTGGGCCAAAACCCAAAAAATCATATTCCGCGATATGCAAAACGTTTCCTTCAAACCATGACTAATAATTTAAACAAATACATGTTTACACCAAATAATTAACTAAACAAAGCCCATGTTTATAGGAAAACATGACATTAAGCCAAATGGTTTCAAAGACAATTCTTGAAAATTTTACCTATTTCCCTTTTGGTCGGCACCCGTGACCTGAAAAGCCTTGGCTAGTAGTTCTGATTAGTATCAAATCCTCATAATGTGACATTTTTAGGCGTCAAATTACAGTAAAACTACTAGGGCAAGAACAGGAGCCAAAAGCAACAGGGAAGATGTCCATTTTCCTCTTACACCCTCCGCCTCCATTTACCACTTAACGGCACGTTTTTATGTTAGAAAAGGGCCGCATCCTTCGAGATCCAGCGCAGCGTTAAGTCCGTGATTTCAGGAACAAACCTGCCGCTTCCAAAATACAGGCTGAGATGTCCTCCCCATGAATTAGTTTTGCGCTCTTGCACCACCTCCTTTGTCTACGCTGTCCCTGCAAACTCCTAGCTCAATGCCCTCCAGCAAACAAGCTGCTGAACGCAAAGACGACCGTTCCAAGTCTTTTTCAAAGAAGGGGAAAACCCAATCACGCTCCTGAAGCCTGGTTCCCACGGGAGCAGGCCGGGCTGTCCACGACGGAAGCCTCGACCCCGGCTGGGGCCGTCGGCCCGGCAGCGCGCAGCGGGAGAGCCAGGGCCACAGCCGGGGCCGGGAACCCTAGCCCGGCCGCCTCCGCGGGATGCAGCGACCACCGCCCGCCGCCCCCGGGCCGGCACTCACCTCCGTGGAGGGGCAGCGGCGCCAGCACCTGGCCACGGACCTCGGCCTTGGGGGAGTCCAGCCCGTAGCGCCCGCGGTCGATGCGGAACGTGAGCGGGGCTCCGCGGCCGGGCTCTTGCACCGTCACGTTGATGAGCGCCGTGTAGTACTCCTGGCTCGCGTTGTCTGCCCGCGCCGGCCACAGGCTGCAGGTCAACAGGGCGAGCGCGGCGAGCCGGGCAGGGCCCGCCCGCCCCGCGCAGCTCATCGTCCCTCCGGCCGCCGCCGCCGCTCGCGGACCGGGCTCCGGGGCCGGCGCGGAGAGGCGGGGCGGGCGCGGCCCGGGCTGCGGCGGGAGCGCGCGCGCGCGGCTTGCGCGGGGCCGGGGCCGAGCCCGAGCGCGGCCCTCCTGGACGCTGCGACCCCGCGGCTCGCCGCCCTCACGTCCGCCGCCCGCCCGTGGGGACGCGCCCATGGGCCCTCGGCGAGGGCGGCGTCTCAGGTCGCACGCGGGCGTCTCTTCAGGGTCCCGGGAGGGCCGTAGGAGCGTGCCCCCTCCATTCCCCCGGTCGGTCCCGCCGAATGGGAGGCGCCTCGCAAGGACGCGGCGCGGGAGGGGAAGGGCGGCACGGGAGGAAGCGCCCCCAGGAGGGTCAGAGGAACACAAAGTCCCTCTTGCGCGGCTGCCGCCTGAGGCGCGCGTCCGCCGCCGCCCCGCCCCCGGCTGGTCTAGCGGCAACGCACAGGCCTGAGGCGCAGCCCCGCCCCGCGCGCATGCGTGCGAGGGCCTGTCCTCGCCCGCCCGCCTGCACGAGGGCGCGGGCAGCCGGGTCACCCGCCGGCGCTGCCTGTTTCTCTGGCGTGATGGCCGCAGGGCCTGGAGCCCGGGAGATCTGCGAGGGCATATGGAAATGTGTGAGAACAGACTACAAAAGAAAAAAAGTTCTAACTTTAAAATAAGTGTTTAAAATTAAATGTCATGAGACCTATCATTCATGTCATGCAGTTGACCTCATGGATGGGGGATGACTGGCCCGGACCTGCAGGGACACGAGTGGTTGGGAAAGGCCAATAGGGCAGCAGTCCCTAACCTTTTGGCACTGGGGGACGGGTTTCCTGGAAGACAGTGTTTGCAGGGACTGAGGGAAGAGAAGTGGTTTGGGATGAGGCTGCTTCACCTCAGATCATCAGGCGTTAGATTCTCCTAAGAAGCGCGCAGCCCAGATCCCAGCACGCGCAGTTCACACCGGGTTCGCGCTCCTATGAGACTCTAATGCCGCCCTGATCTGACGGGAGGCAGAGCTCAGGCCGTAATGCTCGCTCGCCTCCTGCTCGCTCACTGGTTCCTCCAAGGCCGTGGGCACGGGTCCGCGGCCGGGCGGTTGGGAAGCCCCTGCTCTAGTGACTGGGTGAAATACTCCAGGGGTCCCCGGACCATGAGAACCCCCCCAACACCTTCCCAAACGCGCGCACACACGACTCTCACTTTCTCTCTCCACGGCGTGTAAAAGATGTACATCGCTCTAAAGTATCAACTGAAAGGAAGAATGGGGCCGTGCAACTGATTTCAGGAACTTACAGGATCTTTGTGGGGAGGCGGAGGGGGAAAGTTTGGCGTCTTCTGACCAACCAGGGTTGACTCTCCTGTCTCCTATAGCGGGAAGTGGGTGGAGTCAGCTTTGCGCAACCAACCGTCCTGAAAATCCGGAAAAGAGGTAGCTCCCCAAAAAGAAATTTGAGGCACTGTTTCCAGGAAACGGTACGGATGCAGTGCAGGCTAAAACTTAAGATGTCCACTACTGGCCAGGCTCAGTGGCTCACGCCTGTAATCCCAGCACTTTGGGAGTTCTACGTGGGAGGTTCACGAGGTCAGGAGTTCGAGACCAGAATGGGCAACATGGTGAAACCCCGTCTCTACTAAAAATACAAAAATTAGTGGGTCATGGTGGTGCGCGCCTGTAATCCCAGCCTGTAATCCCAGCTAGTTGGGAGACTGAGGCAGGTGAATCGTTGGAACCTAGGAGGTGGAGGTTGCGGTGAGCTGAGATCGCGCCACTGCACTCCAGCCTGGGCGACAGAGCAAGACTCCATCTCAAAAAAAGAAAAAAAAAAAAGGCCGGGCGCGGTGGCTCACGCCTGTAATCCCAGCACTTTGGGAGGCCGAGGCGGGCGGATCACAAGGTCAGGAGATCGAGACCACGGTGAAACCCCGTCTCTACTAAAAATACAAAAAATTAGCCGGGCGCGGTTGTGGGCGCCTGTAGTCCCAGCTACTCGGGAGGCTGAGGCAGGAGAATGGCGTGAACCCGGGAGGCGGAGCTTGCAGTGAGCCGAGATCGTGCCACTGCACTCCAGCCTGGGCGACAGAGCGAGACTCCGTCTCAAAAAAAAAAAAAAAAAAAAAAGAAGACAGATGTCCATTATTGATGACTTGGTGACATCCTTCACAATTTCTCCCTCCATTTCCCTCTCTTCCACCCTCTACCATAGTCCTTATAGACCATGCCCTGGCCTATGGATAACGGCTTTTTCTTTCTTACTTATCCTCAACAAGCACAGCCCCTAGACCAAAGCAGTGGGATCCCCACCCTGGGCCTGGCATTTAAAGAGTGCTCTGATCTGGTCCCCCTCCAGCTGGGCCCTTCATAGGGCAGGGAGTCCTTAGCACCAAGGTACCCATGCTCTAGCACCCACGACCCAAATATTCCTTGCCCCCACAACCCGGGGCCACATCTAGGGCCTGTGTGGGGCTCTTCCCAGTGAGGGTCTCCTGTCTTCTCGCTGGGTATGCCCTGGCCTACCCCTGCCCGAGAGGCTCATGGCCTCTACTCCTTTGTCCTTATAAGGGAGGAGTCTTCAAACTGTAAGAGGCCCACAACCCCTGGCACAAGAAACAATTATAGAAGCTCACAAGCACCACTTTGTTAATCAGGTGGGGAGGAAATGGCTTTCTCAACCCTTCTGAATTTGTCAGGGAGAAAGTTGGTTCCGGAGCACCTTTAACACCTCCCTGGCACTTGCCGATCTCCTCTTTAAATAAAGCGAGATGAGGTCTCAGTGCACAGCCTCATCAGGCACCGGCATGTACGGCGACATTCACACCAGCCTGTACTTGGAAGTGGCATTGTCTTTTAAGGAGACCTTAAGGGGTTTTGTTTGTTTGTTTGTTTGTTTTTTATTTTCCCAGGCTGGAGTGCAGTGACGTGGTCTCAGCTCACTGCAAGCTCTGCCTCCCAGGTTCACGCCATTCTCCTGCCTCAGCCTCCGGAGTAGCTGGGACTACAGGCACCGCCACCACGCCTAGATTTTTTTTTTTTTTTTTGTATTTTTAGTAGAGACGGGGTTTCACCGTGTTAGCCAGGATGGTCTCGATCTCCTGGCCTCATGATCCACCTGCCTCGGCCTCCCAAGGTGTTGGGATTACAGGCATGAGCCACCGCACCTGGCCAAGGAGATCTTAAGGTTTTAAGGAGACCTTAGGGAGACAAGAGGTTTTTCATTTATAATAGTGAGACAACGCTACCTTTTAAAATATTGTGGTAAAATATGCATAACATAAAATTGTCCATCTTAACCATTTTTAAGCATATGGATCAGTGGCCTTAAGTACATTCACACCGTTGTGTAACCTTCATCATCCGTCTCCAGAACTCTTTCCATCTTGTAAAACTGAAACTCTGCACCCATTAAACATTCCTCCTCCCCCAACCACCATTCTTCTTTTCTGTCTCTATGATTTTGATGATTCTAGTTACCCACATCGGTGGAATCATATAGTATTTGTCCTTTTGTGAGTAGGTTATCTTGCTTTGCATGATGTCCTTGAGGTTCATCTCTGTTGAAGTACATGTCAGATTCCTCCTTTGCTAAGGCTGAATCATATCACATTTTATGTATATACCAAGTTTTTTTTAGCCATTCATCCATTCCACTGTATGGATATAATACATTTCGTTTATCCATTCATCACAGGACACTTGGGTTGCCTCTACCGTTTGGTTATTGTGAATAATGATGCTATGAACATGGGGCGTATAAATATCCCTTAATGCTTTCAATTCTTTTGTGTATATACGCAGAAGTGGAATTACCAGATCTAATGGTAATTCTATGCTTAATTTTTTCCAGGAACTGCCCTACTTTTTTTTTTTTTTTTTTTATATAGTGGCTGTCCCATTTTACATTCCCACCAACTGCCCAAGGGTTCCAGTTTCTTCACATCCTTGCCAACACTTCTCTATTTGTTTTTCAAAATAGTAGCCATCCAAATCGGTATTAGGTGGTATCTCTTTATGGTTTTGATTTGCATTTCCCTAATGATTAGTGGTGTTGAACATCTTTTCATGTGCTTATTGGCCATTTGTATATCTTTACATGATGTATATCTTTTAAAACATTTAAGAAAAAAGTGAATTAATTAAAAGTATTGGTTAAATAAAAGCACGAGTGGTTTTATTGGACATGGCAGGTCTCCTGGAGGATGTGTGCCGCAGTCTGACTCTGGCCCACGCTGGCCTGTGAATAAGCTGCCCACGAGCCTTTTTCCTTAATGGGGTTATTTCCCTGACTCTACCACGCACCACATTCCCCTGCCTCTGTGTCCATTTCTCAGCCCACAATACATCCTAGGTCACCTGTAAGCCCCAGCTTAAATTCCCCTTCTCCCCAGAACTCCAGTGGGGCCCCAGCTGCCAGCCTCCCACATCCAGGCCCCGGAAGAGCTTCAGTTCTTCAGAAGAAGAGCTGTCTTCTCTATGAGCAATGTCTGCCCTCCCAGGACAGCAGAAGGGGTAATGTGTGTGTAAAGCATGCTGCACAGAGTTTGGGACTCCAGCAATCAGAGGCCAAGCAGCGTCCCCTGGACAGTGCTAGATACCCCAGTGGGTCGCCCAGATTTCCCAAAGTCCAACTCCTGTTCCTCCTCCTCTTCCTTTTCTTTCTTGAATGGCACATAATCCCCACTGTTCCTAGGAAGGCCCTGCTCTTACTTCATTACTGATATGTTCCCTTTTATCACCATTTCTCACTCCATGACCCATAGGAAACCATTTTCGTGTGCTTCATGTGTCTCTTTTGTTTGTGTTCTTGCAAAATGCATGTTGTTGCTTAATGTGCATGTGCTTTTTAATTATTAAACTGTGTTGGGTCATTGATGTCATTCTGTTTCTGATCCTCTTCACCCAGCACTATATATTTTTTTACTTCTTTCATACATGTATTAATTTTTTATACTGCAATATAACATACATATAGTAAAGTGCAAAATTTTTATGTGTACAACTCAACACGTTTTTTATGAGGTGCAAACACCCTTTACCCATTATCTAGATCAAGATGGAGAACATTACTAGCACTCCTGAAAGTTTCCCTGAGCTTCTTAGTCGTGAGCACCCCACCATTCTGATTTCTTTTCATCTTTCTTTAGAGACAGGGTCTTAGCCTGTCAACCAGGCGGGAGTGCAGTGGTGCAATCATGGCTTCTCGAAGTCTTGAACTCCTGGGCTCAGCAATGCTCCCACCTCATCCTCCTGAGTCGCTGGGACTACAAGTGTGCACCACCATGCCCAGCTACTATTCTGACTTCTGTTGCTTTTGATTAGTTTGCCTTTTGTTGAACTTTATATAATATAAATAGAATCACACAATATGAAATCTTTGGTGTCCTGTTTATTTTTCTTAACTTATGTCTGTGAGATTTTGTGTTTTTGT